TATTTCTGACAGCCCTTCCCATCCATCTGTCATGTGCCAGGAAACAAACTGTGGCCAAGAAAAAAAAAATGGGGGGTTGAACATCTAAAGGGGCAAGAAACCTAAAACTCACAGCCTACTGTCTATATTGTGCAAACTGCCTGCCATTTCTGAGTAAAATTAAGCCCATCGTCTCTCACCATAAAAAAAAAAAAAAGTCAAGGAGACAAGAGCTCATGGTGGAGAAGAGCCAATGAATTCCAAATTCCCAACAAAACGCTGAGCCAGGAGACCAACTGATATCACAATTAACACTGCTAAGTGTTACTGGACAGTTTGAAAGAAAATCCCAAGGCCAGGAAGTAACCAAAGGTTAAAGTAAAAAGCAAGTATCTCCTTACATGCTTGTCGGCCACAACTCTCCCCTTACAAACCTGGAAGATTTTTTTTAAGCACAGGAGAGCCAAGCCCTTCCTTTTGAAAGAAACAAAGAGAACAGGGAGCCTCCTCTCCATTATTCATCTATCAACTTTGGTTTCATATTGCATCACCATTAAGATAATAATTTCTGCTTTCTATCACTTTAAGATATGTTTCCAATAACCATCAGAGTCAATAAAAGATCTCTGAGACTGTGGCCTACATACGTTCACTATTCGTGCCATTCCTTTTATAAAGCAGAGTAGTAGATTAATAAGAAATATCAGATTGCTCCTTTAAAAAAACTCATAGGCCAAAAATGACATAAAACATTTCAAATTGAAAAGTCAGTATTGGCAAGTCATGGAAGGAAACGTTTTAGGATAAGGATAATGTTTAAAACACTGGAATATCTCGATTAAAAACCACTTACTGTTTACAAAACACAACAGGTAGCTTTGAAAGTAATGAATCCATACCAGCAACAAAGAGATTATTAAGGCCTTTTACTTGCGGTGCTAGCATATTAACTCATTTGGAGGTTAAGTAAACAGTGGCATCTAATAGCTGAGTGTTTACTTTATAGGTGAAATATTAGATGCCAAAAATAACCTGTAAGTCACAACTGCACTTAACAGAAATCTAGAAAACTAAGTCTTTTCTTCCGTTACTTATGTTTAATGAACAAGAGTGAAACTTAAGATCGAACTATGGCACATGAAACACACATTGTGGTTCCTGGGTAAGAATACTGAATGCTTTCTATCAGTTCTTACTTGTCACAAAAATCAAATATGGCTTGTCCTTTTCCCAGACAAGATTCAGAACACAGTTTTTCACTTGTGCCATTTTAAATGCCAGTGCTAAGTGGCAAATGCCTATTTAGAAGGCTGTTCAGTTTTTGAACCCTGCATTTTAGCTGTGTGAATGTGTGTGTTTAAACAAAACCCCTGTATGAATGTTATTCTAGGAGTAGATACTCAGCTGAGGAAACTAAGAAAACAGATCTGTGAGGACATGCAGTGGAATGTGAGCGGTTTGGCTGGAAAGCTCACAATCAGGAACAAATTGTAGCGCATAATGGCTGGAAAAGTTAATTAAGTCAACCTAACACAGCCCCAGTAACAAAACGTTTTTTTGTTTGCTTGTTTTATTTTTATTTCAAACCTTGAAGTTGTGGATGGGAGAAAAAAAATGCATGTAACACATGCCTTTTGGTTCTTGATGCTAAACTCACCTTTCACTGCTCACTGACAAACTCCTGAATTGCAGAGCTTTGTGAAGAAAGCCTAAGAACGCCCCTCGACATGCGTAGCAATCACTACTACCTTGATAGGATCCAAATGATTTTCATTTCCTTTTTGTGAACAGCCTCAGTGCAGGTATCCAAGCACCTCCGAAATGTTTATAAAGAGAAAAGAGAGAAAGGGAAACAGAAGAGGGGAAAGGAAAAATCACCATGGCGGGGCGCCTGGGTGGCTTAGTCGGTTAAGTGTCCGACTTTCGCTTAGGTCATGATCTCGCGGTTCGTGGGTTCGAGCCCCGCGTCGGGCTCTGTGCTGGCTGCCAGCTCAGAGCCTGGAGCCTATTTCAGTCTGTGACTCCCTCTCTCTCTGACCCTCCCCTGCTCACGCTGTCTCTCTCTCTCTCTCTCCTAGAAATAAATAAAACATTAAAAAAAAAAAAAAGAAAAGAAAGTAAAATGACCATGGCAATGACAGCTACCTGCCAGTGCGCCCGCGTGCTCTACAACCCAAGCCAAACCCAGACCAGCGCTCCCGGACTAGCTCTAGGAACACAGGAGAGTGTGGAGGAAAGCAGGAGACCGGGTAAGAGTCTGCAGAACAGGGAAGAGGCAAGGTCATTCCACCCCTGGCACAGGATCCTCGGGCAGCAAAGAGGCTCTGAACTCATTAGGCAAAACCTGCAGAGGACTCGGGTGTAAAGATCTTACTTACAATTCTTAGCACCGCTGACATAAAGCAATCTGGAAGAGAAAGGTCTGTTCCTGTCTTTAAATCTGTTTGCAGGGTTTCATGGAATCTTCCAGAATTGCAATCCATGCATAAAATCACCACTTCCATTTTTCTTTTACTTGGTTGGGTCTTTACAGTCTCCCAAAATAAAAAGTTAATAAATCCCCTAAAGGAAACAAGAACACTGCAAAAAACAGTCAGAGCTCCAGGGTTACCAGGGCAGCTCTCCTTCAGGCAGGCATGTGCCTTGCAAACCCGACTGATGAGCATTTGCCCCGAACAGGACCAGTTTTACGCGCACTGAAGAGGTCATGTGTACTTTAAGGGCACAGGCCGATCAGGGCAGGAAGCCGGGGGGTTTGGGTTCAGGATCCGTGATTACTGCAGACGACAGGACCCACTTCGTGAATCCTGCCCTTTCCTTCTCTAGCGTTCTTGAGTAGCTTCTTGGCTGCCACGGGCCAGACTAGGTTAGCTCTGATCCCAGTCACCCTAAACGGTTTCATGAGAGGAACTCGGGGTCTGAATGGCTCAAGACAGACACAGCGGCACCAAAACCCTCCCGAGCACGCGTGGGAGAGGCCAATGCAGCGGTACCTTCGCACGGACAGACAGACCGCTAGTGGGAGTCTACTGAGATTCACAGATGACGGTGGCTCACAGAGGGTCCATATAGCACAGCTCATCTACCAACTTACACGCATTCGCATCCATTCTCACACACTCACAGGCACACTCCCCTGCACTCATGCTCACGCACCCACACACTTCCACGTACCCTCATGAGCGCTCACGCACACGCAAGCATAAAGATAACCAAAAGCTGATGTTTTGTGAACCATAATACCCAGAAAGTGCTTATTCCTACAAAATTATTCTATTGAAATTACCAAGCAACCTTCCCTGCACAGACTGATCCTATTTCTAAAATAACAAATTTGTCTAATTTTTACAAATTCCAGAAAAAAAAAGCAAAAAAATGATGTTTTTTTAGGAGAAAATATGTCTTCTGAAACCACACCGGAGGAATAACACAAATATCCAGCTCAATTAAAATTGGCTCTAGTCCTGGGGCTCCCGGGGGGCTCAGTCAATTAAGTTATTCAACTCCTGATTTCAGCTCAGGTCATGATCTCTCAGTTCCTGAGATCGAGCCCTAAGTCAGGCTCTGCACTGACAGCATAGAGTCTGCTTGGGATTCTCTCCCTCCCTCTCTGCCCCTCCTCCACTCACGCTCTCTTTCTCAAAATAAATTTTAAAAAAAACTTTAAAAAATTAAATACCACAAATACAGGGAGAAATACGGACAAGTTTCCATAGGGACATAAAGTAAATTCATTATTTTAACTCAGACATAAATATACCTCCCTAGGGATCAATTCAAAACTGGACTCATTAGCAGCAGATTTAACGCCAGCCCCTCCAGTGGCCCAGACAAGCCAGCAGTGCGCACTGGTGACATCTGGGAAGAGAACGCAGGAGCGGCACGCGCTCGCCAGGGGCAAGGATGGGCACGGGGATCAGGGACGAGGCTCTTCAGCTGTCAGCTCGGTCAGTGCCAGTCAGGAGAGGCAGGTGCAGTCTACCTTCAGAGTAGAAGGATCTGAGCTGCAAGTTACCTTCCAGAGTAGATTCGGGCTCTCCAATTGTATGTAAAAAATTCTAAACCAAGCCAGTGAAGTCTTTCTTGGAATGAATAAAATAAAAGCCCATAGGGAAGGAAACAGCAGGTTGGCTCAGGGAAATCGGCGTGTCCAGATTTGCAATGCCCAAAAGCCAGCAGAAAAGTCTGGCTCATTCTTCCTAAGGGCACATGGAGAGTGGAGCACAGTGAGTGGGCAGAGACCAGGGAGGCTATGAAATTTACAAAAAGCAAAGGTACCAACTTGCCTTCAAGAGAAAAGGGGGGTAAAGGACGCAGTCACCATGAACCTGTTCAGTCTGTCTTTATTTTTCCAGACGGGGCTCTGGAATTTATTTGCAATACCCCATGCTTGAGTTGAAATGCCCCTCAACACTGCTTAAAATTTAAAAAAAAATTTTTTAAATACAGCACACGGGAGCAGCAGCTATGTGTTATCTGTGAACACAATTAAGTCCATTTTTATAAGCAAACCCTGCACCTCAGAGAGCAGTGTTACCTCGAGGTCCAACCATTAACAGCTGTTAAAATCCTTTTGAATGAACTCCATAGAGTTGAGGGGAGGCAGATCTTGTCTCACTAAATCTTGACAAGGCAACTTTTCAGTCTTTTGTAATAACTAATAACTAATTATTCCGACCAGTGTAGACTTTTCCGTGTGAAATGCAAAGTATTTTGAACTCCTGCCAGGCTAATCAAGATGATTTCCAAAATGCCACAACAGGAACTTCCTATAATAAATAACCTAACACATTTACATCTCAAATTAGAAAATTTGGAAGAAAACATGTAGCTTCAGTGCCAAAATAGAGAATGCTAAAGCCTGCCCATCCCGCGCCCCGCCACTCTCCACCCCTATTTGCTTTCGTTAGCCTCTCAAGGAATAGACCCTCGTCCAGGTGCAAGTGCTCAATGCACAAGGAATGCAGAGAACACAAAAACGACTGTAGGCTTGGCTGCCGGTGATGCCCGTGGCCGCTCACCATTGGAAGTGGTGCTGGAGGCCACGGCTTTCTCGCTGACATCTGTTCGCGTGGAGCATTTCACTATGGAATTCTCCACTTTCTTCTTCTCAGTGGTCGTGGAGCTGTGGGACTGGGCCTCCATGATGCTTTCTCATTACTTCAGCTCTCTGCTACCAGGAACGCCTAAAACAAAACAGTGCCATCAGCTTCCAGGAAGAGGGGGGTGGGCGGGGGAAATCTCACTGAAAAGCCCACTTCACCTGCCACCTAGAGCTTTAGCGAGTCCAAAATCTGGAAGACCCTGGCCCACAAGTTTTCGTGCAAAAATACCTTAAAGTCGGAATAACAAGCCAGTCAAATTCTATCTACACACGCCAAAGGAGACGGAAGGGGAAATATCTATAATGTGAGGCTTTCTCCAAATTCCTACGGGGGGCATCTGTTATTAAGTGCTGTAAGGATCCCAATTTTCAGCTGTGTTTATAGTGTGAAACCTAAGTGTAAGCCACGTCTACAAATACCTCTTTAGGTGGCCAAATTTATGGGAAGGGGCATAGTGACGACATCCCGAAAAAGGGGAAGGTTTGTTAAGTATCAGTTAGGTGTTTTAAAGGAGATGACCATTTCCCAAAACCCAAGCCCTACTTGGCGTTTGGAAGCAGAGGATAATCTGGGCCAGGAAGCCAGGGATGTTTGCTCCCCTCCCTAAGATGATCTGAATTGCAATATGGCCCTTAATCCTAATTCACTCCGGTCTTTAAGCTTTCTTAAAACATGAGAATGTTTCAGTTCATTTGTGCTACATTTTTAAAACCAACAAAGGCATCTGGAACATGCTCTGGAGCCTACAGGAAAATTCTAAAGCTCGCAGACAGCAAAGACAGGAACTGCTTACGAAATACTGAAAACCCTGCTAAAGGCAAGAGGGGTGGGTTCTCTTTCACTGGCTTCACTTGCGTGGGAATTGTCCTAACTCCTCATGCATCAATCAAAAAGATGATGGGTTTTATTCCTTGTTTGCAGCCATGAGCTGCACCTTAGGGGTTTATTCCTTTTTTTCCAGTCATGAGCTGCACCTACGAAGACACAAGAAGATGAAAAGTACCCTCTCCCACATGTCTTCTTCAAGCTATTGCGAACACTCAGGGTGGCCCCTCCTTCAGTCAAGTCATCTGCTGATTTTCCACATTTAGCAGACACCACCGTGTTCAATGAAAACAATGATCAGCGAAATAAACTAAGCAATTTCTTTACCAACTAAAAGGGTTAAAATACCAGATGAAATCTTTTTAGTCATCCTCAATTCCGATTTGCAGGGAAATGTAAATTCCTTTCTTTATTGTACCAGAAAGTCCCCTAGATCTGGAATTCAAGTAACTAGAAAAGTCTCTGATCTCATGGCTGCCTCGCACTGAAGCACCAGCTCATCTTCTAACTTCTATTTCTTTTCCTTGATTATCCACTGTCATTTGTTTGCAAAACACACAAGTTTTTTTAAGAACAGCTGTTCTAGAATAAGAAAAAAAAAGGCAGCCCAGGGTTAGATTTACATATCAACTGTGAGATCCACTCCAAATTCTGTAACAGCCCTCAAAGGGCGCCGGCTAACAATGTACAACAGTAAAGGAGCCTCCGGACTGCCCTGCACTGGGCGAAACCCTCAATAGCCGGCGCCCTGAATGGCGCTCCCTGGAGTTTTCCAGTGGTTGGGTTTTCTCATCTGTCACACGACTCAATCACACCTTGGGACTTGGGGCTTCACCTTGGGAGGAAGGTGGTTATTGTCCTCTTTAAGAGTGTGTTAAAGGTTATGGATCATCTCCCCCGAAAAATACCCTTAAACACACACCCAAAAGTGGCCATTTGATTTCCAAGGGATCACAGACCCTCCAAGCTCTTCCATGAAGCCTGACTGAGAACCCTTGAAGGAGAGACTTTCAACAGTCTCTTTTTGCTGTAACGATCTCAGAACCATTCTAATGTTTTTGAACTGCTCCCTCCACATTGATTTAAATATCATCTTTAAAGTATGCCATGAGAACAGTTTCACCCAATCCAGAGTGCGGATTCCAGGGTGGTACAAGAACGACCTGGACCAGTCTTGCTACCCATGCTTGCAAAACATTTGAATTCCCAGGTCCGATCCCCGAGGTCTCTAGGAGGTGGCACCTGGAACCTTTATTTTAGCCAGGACTGGTGACTATCGGGCTCACTAAGGCTTGCAGACAACTGTTCCACACATTTCTGTTCACTATATGGACCCAGGGCAACAGCTCCCCATTTTCGTTTTTGCTGATTCGATGAAGTAATGAGTGAATGGCACCCCAGAATACTGAGTTTCAACAGCCCGCCATCAATAACAAACTCATCTTCCAGCATGTTTTGCTGAACCGCCACATGGCCATCTTCCCCTCCAAATCCTAAGCTCCATGAAGACCAACACCACGGCCATCTTCCTGGTACCTCATACCCATAAGAATGTAAACTGAGTAAATAAGCGATCCAGAGATGACCCAGTGGCCCGGAGAATTCTGCAGTGTCTTGACTCTTAAATCACCACTGATTTAGCTACATCTCTTGTCTTTTATACCCAGGGTTTCTTTGAAAGCTGACAAATTATATAAAATCTAAAAAACTTTAACAAGAATATTTAATTAATCAGAACGCTCCGTTCACAACCATTTTGGATGAACAGGCATTTACTCTAATGGTTTCCTTCAAAACCCACATACAGTTTTACTGGTCGCATTTGGATGGGGTTTGCTAAGTTAAAACTGCACGTGTACACAAGCCAATGGGGGGGTGGGGGGAATCATGGAGAGATGGGATTCCTTCCTGGCTAAGAAGGAAGTCTCTCCCTAAGTAGAGGGAACTAATTAATACCAGTGAGGTGACAAGTCACCAAAGTTCCTTGACAAACTTGGGTTTTGTGGAGTTACTGGTTTTTCCCCCAAGCAAAGGACTTTGTTTTAACAAAGCAATAAACCCTCCAAATACTCATCACAAGAGAGAGAGAGAGAGGCTCACGTGAGAAGAGGTAAAGCCCCAGGCACTGACTGAAAATGCACTAATTAATGGTCTTAGAGAATACTAATTCCTACCCCCTCCCCCTGTTCGAAATGGATTTCTAAAAAATGGGCCTTTGGTCACTCAAGAATCTACCCCCTTCTTCTATTTTGACAACTTATTTTTGGATCTCATTAGTTAGTAACTAATTATTTAAAAGTGTGGTTTATGCTCGGAACAGGGCTATAAAAATGGCAACTTGCCAAGGCAGACATCTGCTTCCTGTATATCCCTATAAATTATATCAGCTTATTTTACTGATAAAAACACAACTTTGTCCCTGTCAGTTACAAAGGAGAAAGTTTTAACATTTTAGGCTCTCACACCTCATCAAAAGGACGCACGAAGAGTTAACAGAGAAGGATCTGCTTCTGGCTGGGGTGGCAGTGCTCTTCAGAGACACATTAAACTGAGTTTGGAAACTCAGTCCTGATTTGATGTATGAAAGCTCGAGGTACAGAAGTGACCCGTTTAAAAGAAAAAATCCTGGTGGAATCTCAATACACACACAACTAAAGCAGTGACCCCATACTGCTGTTTTTAAAACCTGGAATTTCTGAAACAATAAAGTGTAATTTATTTAAAACATGAGTTGCAAGAAACACTGTTCGGTTCTGCCTCACTTCCAAGATTCTTCTCTGCATGCCACTGGTTTTCAGACGTGAGCGCGCGGGGCCTGTCCCTCGGCCTGATGGCGTTCCCTCCTCGCCCCTCCACCCTGCAGGCGCTTGCACCGCCACACCGCTGCCTGCAAGATCTGCTTCTATGCCCCGTGACTGTTTACCCTCAGGGGGGAAATCTACTTCTGGCTGAGGTCGGCGCAGCTTGAGTATGGGGGGGGGGGGGTGCAGCCCAGGCAAACTCTTGGTCTTGCAGACCTGCTCAAGCTTGAGGCTGCACAGGTAAATGGAGGGATAAAAACTCCTTCCTGAGAGCAAACAGTCCTGGCTTTTCCCATTCGACTGTCCTTGAACCTTCTGTAATTTTCCCGAAGGCCTCAACCCAGGGCCCAATTCCAGACCCTATTCTCAACCCAATGCCTTGCCTGCCAGCAACCTGCCAGCAGGTGGGTCTTTCCTCTCTGAACCAGAAGTCGGGAGTGGCATCCACCTCCTCCAGAAGCGAGCATCTGAAGCTTGCTGGAGCCTCCGCCCCGGTGGCCGTGGGGAAAGTGCGCTACAGGCGCAACCCTCCGAATCCGACCCTTCGAGCGCGGACCTCCGTCTGAACCGCACCTGCGCGCAGAGCCTGGAGCGGCCCCCTCTCCAGGGCTGCAGGGGACAGCCGCCGCCCGCACAGGCGGGTCCCCACCATTCCGGGCCGCGGGCCCCGGGGGCGTCGGGAGGCTCTCCCCGCCGCCCTGCGTGCCGTCCCGCCCACGGGCCCGCGCCCGCGCGCCTCCCCGCTCCCCCCGCGGCCGCCGCCGTCGGCCCGGCGCGCCCCCCTCCCCGCGCGCCCCGCGCCCGCGCCCGGATCCCCGCCGCCGCGGGGGTGTCGGGGGGGGGGGCGCGGGCAGCCCCGGCTCCGAGCCGCCTTCCCGGGGCGCGCTTCCTGCAAGTTGCACGCGGCGGGGCCTCGGCAGGGAAAGGGGCGCCCGCGCCACTCCCACCGCACCGGCCACCGGGCTCCCGGGAGTGCGCTCTCCCTGCGGCTGGCCCGGCGACACTAGCCCGCGGCCGCCCAGCTTCCGTTCACACAGCTGTGTCACCGGCTGCACCCGGGGAGGTGCCACTTTGCGGGCCCTCTGTCTGCGGCGCAACACCCCGTGTGTGCCGCCGTGATAAAACACTGGGGAGCGCTTGGGGTCTTCACCAAACCTGCGGGGGTGGGCTTCGCTCCCCAAACTCCTAACTCGCCGTCCATCAACCTGGCCCCCAAATGCGGCTTCTGCACCTAAGCTGCCCGAAGTAGGTGCAGGTGTTGTGAATGGGTGAAGGCGCAGACACATCTTGTCCCTCGGGGAGGGTGGCCCTCGGTGGAGTTCCAAAGTTCAGCCTCAACCGTGAGGCTTTATGTAGTAAATAGGAGAAAAAACCAGTTCTGGGGACACCTGCAAAACTCAGCCTTCCCCCTTGG